AAGGGCTATTTATGGATTTTATAAGTTTCCTTTGGCTTTAATTAGTATTTTTGGGCAGGGGTTTGTTTTCATCTTGAATGAGAGAATACATTTGAGATCTAGGGTATATTTTTTTTTGTTCTAGGCTTGGCTAGAGATTTGGAGAGTTGCTTCTTCCTCTCGAATCGAAGAAACTTCTATGTTGTATTGCTTATCTTGTTCGTGGATTGAATAGAAGAAGTTTCCTTGTGTTTTCTTTCCAATTTTTCTGAAATTTCTGTATTATTTTGCTGATGTCTCTCTGAAATCAGCAGATTTCTCTCTGTTTTCACCAATTGTTGCTAGGTTTGCTTGTGAACTCAAGTATTTCCCCTTAGAATTACTTGTGAACTCAAGTACTTCCTATTAAATTGGTATCAGAGCGTTGTCTTGGGACCATTGGCGACTAAAATCCTGAAGACCAAACTCCCATTGGAGAGAGATGGAGGAAGGGGAAAATGGAAAAAATTTCAAGACCACTACCTTCTTACCTCCCAAGGGGCCAGCGTCAAGGAGTCTGAAAAAAGTGCCCAAGGAGAGAGCTGGAGGAAGGGGAAAATGGAAAAAATTTCAAAAGGATGACTGAGAAGGAGATACAGGAGAAGAGGGCAAAGGGGTTGTGTTTTAGATGTGATGAGAAGTACATATCGACGCATAGGTGTAAGGACCAAACTCTTTAGGTTCTCACCGTCTATGATGACGAGGAAGTTGAAGAGGGATGTGGGAGTAGGGTTAGAGATGGAGGAAGAGGAGAAGTTGCATCTAGATATGGCAGAAGTCTCGCTGAACTCAGTGGTGGAGCTCACTCCGAATCACACTATGAAAGTGAAGGGAGCGATAGCAGATGGAGAGGTGGTAGTGCTGATAGATAATGGGGCAACCTACAATTTCATCTCCACCCAGATTAAGGATATAATGGGGGGAAAATTAGTAGATATAGAAGACTATGAGGTGATGATGGGTACGGGAAAGGTAGAAATGGTTAGAGAAGTTTAGGGGGAGTGGTGTTGACCATTCAGGGGATCTAGGTGAGGGAGGACTTTCTTCCCTTAGAGTTGGGGAGTACTGATGTCATCCTGGGAATGAAATGACTACAGACTTTGGGGGAGACCAAGGTCAATTGGGGAGCACTGAGAATGTTACTGGTGGTCGGGGGAAGGAGAATGGAGATCCATGCGATGCAGGGCTGTCCAGGGCCGGAGTATCTCTCAAATCCATGATCAGAACCATACAGGAGGTGGGAGGTCGATATTTGGTGGAATTGCAACGCTTGAAAAGGGTCACTGTGGGAGAAAAGGGAGGCATTCCTCTTGCAGTACAACCACTCATACAGCAGATTAGTGAGGTGTTCCAGCCATCTCAAAGTTTAACACCACCCAGAGAGCAAGAGGATGCAATCCATTTAAAGGAGGGGGTGTCACTGATTAGTGTACGGCCCTACCACTACCCCAAAATTCAGAAGGATAAAATTGAGAAGCTGATTAAGGAGATGTTGGAAGCGGGGATCATCAGATCAAGTATGAGTCATTTCTATAGTCTTGTCTTACTGATCCAAAAGAATGATGGGAGCTGGAGGTTTTATGTGGATTATAGGGCGTTGAATAAGGAGACTATGTCGGATAAATTTTTCATCCGGGTGATCGATGAACTACTAGATGAGCTGTATAGAACAGTAGTGTTTTCTAAGATGGACTTGAAGATGTGCTACCATTAAATTAGGATGGAAGAGGAGGATATTCAGAAGACGCCCTTCAGGACATAAGAGGGGGCACTACGAGTTCTTGGTGATGCCATTTGGGCTCACAAACGCCCTTGCTACTTTCTAGTCTTTGATGAATATGGTATTACGACAGTACCTCAGAAAGTTTGTTCTGGTATTTTTATGACATTCTGATGTACAACAAAACGGATGAGCATCTGGATCACCTAAAGGTGGTTCTGAGAGTTTTACAGGAGCATCAGCTAAGAGCCAACCTAAAGAAGTGCAGCTTCGCCCAGTCTAGCATGGAGTACTTGGGATATGTAGTATCCCAGGAGGGAGTGACGGCCGATCAAACAAAAATTGAGGCAATGCAGAAATGGTCTATGCCTAGGAACATAAGGGAATTGAGGGATTCCTAAAACTGACTGGATACTGTACGAGATTTGTGAGGGGGTACAGTACCATAGCTTGGCCCTTGACCGAGCAACTGAAGAAGAATAACTTTTTGTGAGGAGGGGTAGTGACTCAGGCTTTTGAGAGATTGAAGAAAACCATGACTACAGTTCCAGTTTTAGCACTTCAGGACTTCAGCCAGATCTTTGTAGTAGAGGTCGATGCGTACGGATATGGGTTGGGAGCCGTGCTGATGCATAATCACAGACCTATAGCATATTTTAGTCAAGTGTTGTCAACTAAGGCTAGATTGAAGTCAGTGTATGAGAGAGAGCTGATGGTCATTGTCTTGGCTATTCAGAAGTGATGCCCTTATCTTTTGGGAAGGTATTTCATCGTCCGGACGGATCAGAGGAGCTTGAAGTACTGTTGGAGCAAAGGATGGTGACCGAGGAGCATCAAAAATGATTATCCAAGCTATTATGCTATAATTTTGAGATCTAGTACATGCCTGTTTTAGAAAATAAAGCGGCTGATGCCTTATCCAGATATGTTGGTGAACTTCAGGAGTTGGTTGTTTCAGTACCACTGATGGAAGACTAGGGGCCATCAAGGAAGAAAGTATGCAGAATGAAGAGTTGAAAAATATCGAGGAGGATTTGATGAAAGATAATATTAGCCATCCTAGTTACAATATTGAGGGGGAGAGGCTGTTGCATCAAGGAAGGTTTGTGATGCCACGAACTTCCATACATATTCCTCACTTGTTACATGAGTTCCACGGTAGTGTATTTGGAGGTCATTCAGGAGTACAGAAGATCTATAGAAGGATGGCATCTGAGCTTTACTGGAAGGGGATGTATAAAGATGTTGAGGAGATAGTGGTGAAGTGTGAGAGAAACAAATATATGGGCATGGCTCCAAGAGGACTACTATAACCCTTGGCACTTCTAAACAGAATATGGGAGCAAATGTCCATGGATTTCATAGACGGCCTAACACGATCAGAGGGATTCACAGTCATCATGGCGAAGGTTGACAGACTTAGTAGGTATGCACATTTTATCCTCTTACGACATCCCTACACCGCAGTATCAATAGCAACAGTATTTATCAGGGAGGTGGTTAAACTAGATGGGATTACCAAATCGATGGTGTCTGATCGAGACAAAGTTTTCCTCAATCAGTTTTGGAGGGAGTTGTTTAGGTTGCAAGGTACTGTTCTTAAGAGAAGCACCGCCAATCATCTGCAGACAAATGGGCAAATAGATGTAGTGAACTGAAGCTTGGAGACTTACTTGAGGTTTTTTTATTCTGAAAAAAAACGGACGTGAACAAATGGTTAGCATGGGCCTTGTATTGGTACAATACTTCGTATCATTCTGCCTCTCAGATGACTCCTTTTAAAGTACTGTATAGAAGAGACCCCCCACACTTAGCGCATTTTGGGAGGGAGAGCACACCAGTTTATTCAGTTGAGCAGTACTTAGAGGAAAGGGACAAAGTGTTGGAGGAATTGAGGAAACATCTGATCAGGGCCAACAAATTATGAAGAAGAAGACAGATACACATCAAAGAGACATACAATATGAAGTTGGGGAGAAAGTGTTCTTGAAACTAAGACCCTACAGGCAGAGATTAGTTGCCAAAAGGAGAAACGAGAAATTGGCTTCCAAGTACTTTGGCCCCTATGAGATTTTGGACATGATCGGAGCAGTGGCGTATCATTTGAAGATACCCCCATCTGCCACCATACACACCCGTTTTCCATGTATCATAGTTGAGAAGAGCTCTAGGGGGGCACATACCGTTTGTGCAGAGTTGCCAACTACACTGACATAAAACATGGAAGTAGTCTTAGAACCACTTGAGTTGGGGGGAGTCAGATCTGATAAAAAGGGGAACAAGGAAGTGCTTATTAGATGGAGGGACCTTCCTGATTTCGATGCCACTTGGGAGCCATATGATAGAGTGAAGCTCCAGTTCCTTCTTTTCACCTTGAGGACACGGTGAGTCTTTGGGAGGGAAGTAATGTTTGCAGGCCCATGAGGAGCCGACTAAACCGGTCCAACCTGGACCGGTTCTCTTCTACAGCCGGCAGCCCAAACAAGGGTGGTCGAACCAGGGGATGCCCTAGTGGGGCCCAAGTAATTAATTAAATTGTTGTTTAAGAGGAAAATTTTGAATTAATGCCTGTTTAGGGATTTTGTAAGTTTCCTTTGGCTTTAATTAGTTTTTTTGGGCTAGGGTTTGTTTTCATCTTGAATGAGAGAATACATTTGAGATCTAGGGTTTGTTCTTTTGGGCTCTAAGCTTTGCTAGATATTTGAAGAGTTGTTTATTCTTCTCGAATCGAAGAAACTTGTACGTTGTATCGCTTTTCTTATTCGTGGATTGAATAGAAGAAGTTTCCTTGTGTTTTCTTTTCAATTTTTCTGAAATTTCTGCATCATCTTGCTAATGTCTCTCTGAAATCAGCAGATTTCTCGCTGTTTTCACCTATTGCTGTTAGGTTTGCTTGCGAACTCAAGTATTTTCCCTTAGGGTTACGTACGAACTCAAGTACTTTCTATCAAATTCCTCATACCAGAGCATGAAACAAAATTAACTAGCAATCTTACAGGCCAAAAATTGTCAGACAAGACAGAAAAAAATTTATGCATAAAAATATAATAAAGTATTCATAAAAGATAGTATTGACTATTGAAATATAAAAAGCAAGCCTAAATCGGGCCATCATAATTAGGCTTGCCCAACTATATGGCATCAGCTTAAAAAAGAACTAATGAAAATTTAATCAGATGAAAGTAAACATAGCTATACATAGAGGAGAACAGTTGCATAGGGTCTACAAGCATATCTTTTATCACAAATCAGGTTGTCATACTTTTAACTCATTTGTTAGTTTTAACTTCTCCTTAATGCAACCTTTTCTTTGACTAAGTTCCTTCATTGAGTCAGATATGGCATCATCCTGCTTTTCATCAATTGCCTGTTTTTTAAGAAACATCGTTGGTCAATTTGGTCAATTTACTATGAAAAAGGAAAACAATTAGAACAAAATTCTACAAAACAACACTAACCGTTCCAAGTTCAGAAAGTTTTCTTTCCAAGACATGCTTTTCATTCAACAGCTGAAGCTCCTGAAAAACAAGGAAATGTTAAAATACATTATGCTAAGGAAACATAGAAAATAGAAGTTATTACCAGATCACTATGTGATCAAATAATACTCCATCTAGATCCATACCTTTGAACCAGCATCTCTGATTTGTTTGCGAAGAAACATGATCTCCTCTTCTTGTTGCTGAACTTTGGAGGACAGTTCCTGATTAAAAAAGTTTATATCAATATTGAAATGCTCAAGATCAACTAATCAAATAATATCAGTTGTAGTTAAGCAGATCACAGATTTATGAACTGTCTGAAACCTACCATGAGTTCGTGATCAAGGAGAGTATTATTGGCATCATCTTTTAATATCCTCGCACTTGAACCTCTTCGAAATTGATGCCTGTAATGCAAGCACATGTTTGTCCATAAAACAACAACAACAAGAGTAATCAGGTATTTTTCCTATTCAAGAATCTTAATTGAGTATTCACCGCACTAATGAATCAGTAGAAGTAGTCCAAAATGCCGCATCATCATTCCCATCAATATAAGATGGTCTCATATCTGGAGGAACAGGTTCTGGTGAAGACTGGCCATAAGAAACATGATATTCACCATTAAAAGGATCACACATATTGTTGTACTATACCACCTGGGAAAATATTTTATACTGTCAGTCGCAAGCAAATAGTAAGGAAACTGTAAAGAACCCAATGCTACATCAAATGTAAAAACATCTAATAAATTCTCACCTACAACTCTCATTTATTCTACTGCACCACCAAACAGAATTTCTGCATAATAAACATGCCGTATGTTATAATCTGAGCATACGCATCGAGTAATTAAGATAATAAAAGGACAAAAATGACGGTTGTACACTGCAAAGGATACAAAATTCCATCTTCCACAAGGATGATCCTAATTGAGATTTTTAAAATAACGCATCCATGAAGATAAAATAGAGCACTACTGCATATATTTGATTAATCAAAGACTCATGAAAAGTGAGACCAACAAAAAGGCTTTTCATCGCAATCAATCGGGTTAGATTTTTCAAAACAAAGAAAAATAGAAAACTACATTTTTACAAAAGCTGAGAGTACACTGCACACTGATGTATCACTGCATCTTCTGAATGAAAAAAAAGTACAATAGGCTATAATTTGGTTTTTCTTCAATCCATAAAAGCAAGATCAATAAAAGCTTCTCAAAAGAATCACTTTGATTAACTTAATTGAGATGATTTGATTTGAAAATAAAACGAAGTAACCAAATATGCATAAGACATGCTCACAAAATCACTTACTGGCACCTAGCCAGCACCTGCTTTCCGAAACATTTCACTTTAGGATACTTCTTATCTTGTGGTTGGTTTCGCAGTAAGCGCATCTGCACCAAACACCATCCACTAGTCTTAACTTCTAGAAACAAACATTTGCATTTGTACAACATCAACACATATCGAAATACTTAGGCATATTTGTGGATATTATGAATTCTGTTCACCACAGAGCAATAGAACCACTATAAATTCGGTTCAGCCTAAAATTAAGCACTTTATGCCCATCTTAATGGAGATATATGGTATACTGTTGTATACTTCGCATTCTTAAGACAACAATCCCATTCAGCTTGTAAAATAACAAATCCCTGCCTAATTAGGTATGCCAATCGTGATCTACATAGCTTTGCCTAGTCAAAAAGTTTCAAGAGTACAAATAATTAATAGCTCATAAGAACTGGCTGCTCAAAATTGAGATTTAACACCTTGCATACTACAAAACTAGCTTCTTTGAGCTAGCAAGAGCAAGACTTCAATGCATCCATCTCATCAACATCCGCAAAACATTCTTCTATAGGTATTGAAAAGTATAAGAGACATCCTGATGGATTATCTAGGAAATCATCATCCTCCATCCAGCGACAATGTTGGCAGACGTAGTGACATTAGCTTTTTCAATATGTTTAAAAAAGGACAAAGTCTCCAAGGTTCAACTCTAAATCATAATAAATTTACAAATTCAATGAAATACATGTAATTAAAAGGCGTGACAAACTATATTCAAAAATCAACAACGGGTCATTGAATTTTTGTTGCAAATGATGCAACACAATCTAGCTAATTTAGTCTTAAAAAGATAAATTTTCATAGAATAATCAAAATGAGTCGAATCAGGCAACAAAGGAGCTAGATCAAATTAATTTTCAAGCCTTTTAGGTTCCTACTTACTTTTGGCCAGATTTGTTATTTTATTAGATTTATTTTATTATGTTGAATTATTCTTTTTTAATTATCATAGGTTAGAACATGAATGCTTTCATGGGGTTATAATTAATGCCAAATAGGCTTAAATTCGAATTCAAAATATTTGACCTAATCTTTCTAATCCTTTCTAAAACTAAGGATTGATTGCTTGTATTCATAATCTTGAACACTGATATCTACAACAACAACAAAACTTTATCCCACTGTGGGGTCGGCTACATGAATCTGTTTTCTTCATTGTGTCCTGTTAAGAGTCAAATTCTCATCTGAATCTAACAAAGTGAGGTAATTTCTAATATTTTCTAACCAAATCTTTTTAGGTCTACCTCCATCTTTCTTGACATAAGCCAAATCTAATGCATCTACTTTCCTAACCGGGTAATCAAAAGACCAACATTTTATGTGACCAAACCATCTAAGACGAATCTCTCTAATCTTATCTTCCATTGGAGCTGCTCCAACCTTTTCACATATATGCTCATTTTGTATCTTGTCTCTAAGAGTAAAGCCACTCATCCACCTGAACATCCTCATCTCTACAACACTTAACTTAATATTATGTTTCTCTTTTAATGGCCAACATTCTGCACCATAAAGCCTTGCAGGTCTCGCTACGATATTATAGAATTTTCCCTTAAGTTTGAGAGGGACTTTTCTATCACGCAACAAGCCCGATGCATTTCTCTACTTCAACCATCCAACTTGAATTCTACTAATAATATCCCCATCTGTTTCATCATCACTCTGAACAATATACGTAAGATATCTAAAATGTGTACTCTTATTAATAATCTGATCGCCCAAAGTCACAATCTCCCCACTAGATCTATTATTACTAAAATTACACTCCAAATATTCAATTTTAGATCTACTCAAACGAAAGCCTTTAGACTCTAAGATTGACCTCCATAATTCAAGTTTAACTTCAACTCCCTCTCTAGTCTTATCAACAAGAAGAATATCATCAGCAAAAAGCATACACCAGGATAAAACCTCTTGCAAATGTCTAGTGAGAACATCCATGACTAAAGAAAAAAAGATATGGGCTTAAGGCTAATCTTTGAACATTGATATCTATTGAATGAAATTATTTGTCCGGTGAATTAAGTATTTTCTCTATATCCAATGCATGTCCAAAAATCCGACCAAGTTGTCTGCATGAAGTTTCTCCTTATCCCTACCTCTTTAATATTTCCACCTCAATCTACTTTGTATCATCGCCATTAAATATGATCTCTAACTACATCTTGTAAGCCTTTACATAAGCTGCTTTAGACTGGCAATGAATTGCATCATCAAATCCTATAACCCATTAAATAGTGCTCATTTTTTATAAGCCACATACCTCAGTATCCCAAAATCCCAATCGGTCTAATCTCATTTAAACCGTATTCCCACAAACTAAAAGTCACACCCGCACACTGCAATCTCATGTTACCTGTAAGAAGCCCGCTTTTCCTCATCATCTAATTATATAGCCATCTTGTTTTCCATCTTCTGAACCCAGTTTACTACATGCTCTACCTCGTCCGAGTCGCAATCTCACTCGCCCACACTCCCTTTGCCCATGAATAACATTTCACCCCTTCAATCGCTACCTTGTTTCATAATTTTCATGTAAATCTCTCCCCAAAAAGAATATAATAGGCAATAACACTCGACACTAGAATTGGCAAAAGATTAGGACTGAAAATTAAAGGGAATGGCAACTATAGAGAAATCAAGATTGTGGCAATTCACAAATATACGTATGTGAAACTATAACAACAGTGGAAATAAATACCTCCTGGAATGTAACTAATAGATGAAAAATAGAGAAATATTAGAATTTTAACAAACTAGCTGTAGGAATTGAAGCCTAAACCTTTAGCATTATAGGAAATAAAAAAATCAGGGCAATAGCATGCATATTTGCATCATAAACTATTGGGTCCTCCAACAACTAAGGAGGCAAACCCACCTTCTCAAACCTCTTTAATATCAAAGATGTAACCCAACTTCTTTCAATCAACCTTGCAAGCCTTTTTTTTACATGCGTCCCACCGTCCAAATCACCCATCAATTCTCATGAGTTACATCCACATTAAAGTCGACTATTAGACTTTGCCTTGAGCCTGCATCACTCCTTTGAGCTAGTTGAACCCTAACCTAGAACATGGGCAGACTCAAGGTTACCTGCTTGGCTGACTCAATGTCACCTACTCATGGATATATTATCATCACCTCTACCACTTATATATAAAGCTCAATATCAAGCAATCATTCCTCAAGGAATGCCTCCTAATCAAAGTTTGACGCAAACTATTGCTTCGAAGGGAACCTTACAATAGAAAATCAATTTCCACCAATATGTTTAGGGTATTCCCTTCTCAAATGAATCTAGAATTCACCCCTCCATAATTGAGTTGGCCATGCCACACCATAAGCCAAAAATAATCATGTACTAACACCTCTTATTGTACTAAACAAAGGATTTGTGCACATTTCATTACACAAGTCCAATCGTAGAACCTCCAATGCTCACTTACTAACACCTCCGAAACACCATCAACCAATTTAATACAATTGAGGCCCTTTTGATTCAAATCTTAATCTTTGGACCACTATGAGAGGATGAGTGTCATTCAAAATACCATATCACCCCGTTCTACCAAGAATATCTAAGATGAAGCGATATAGTTGCAAATTAGACTTCATAGATGATATGGCCATGAAATCCTCCATCATTGATAGATTGGGTCAAGTTAAAACTATGAGATTTTAATATGTTTGACTGCTTATCCCCCTCCCCTCCCCTCCCCTCCACTATAAACATAACACCTAAAACTCAATTTAGAGTATGCTGATGTTATTAATCGAGAGAGTTCACAGGCATCAAGCCTAGGATGCAATTGAGTAATTGACCATAGGGAATTATACCATAGGAACCCTAGATCACCAAAATTAAAATAAATATTTATCGATCTCATCAATTAGTCAAGGGAAATGTCAAAGACCTTATTCTAATCTACCTTTCAAATATTATGCTGCTTTGTCTCCTTTCTTAAAGCTCAAAAAAAGGAATAAGGAATGGATCACACCAAGCTCTATAAGGGCTTTTAGAGCCCACATACACAAGGAGTTTCATATAGGATATTTCAACTAAAAAATACGTCAATTCACCCAAACATTAGATATTACACCAAGATAACTCATTTAATTAAAATCAACTTGCCATATAAATTTGGGAATGCATCCTGAGGCCCCATTCTGACATGCTAAAAGTACATTTTGATTAACTAAACCTTTATATGTTTAACAAGAATATACTCCATGATGTTATCTATGATAACTAGTGTCGTCAATTTCAACATCAATTTTGAAATTTAGATAATTTAAATTAAATTTTATCCTTTTTTTTCACTTACTGGAAACATTGTTTTAAACTTCTTCCTCCCTTCAGTAGCTTAATAAATTTGCTTATATTAACTCAATCGTGCATATATGGTGCAAGTATGTACTATGTTTAACACTCATAGTGCTATTACAGAACTTCAAAATAGTACTCATATACTACATGGATATGGAGAGAAGCAGAACCTAGAGATGACCTACCTCAAGCAGCGACGCTGGGCGAGGAGAAGACGTTAGAAGCGACCTGGATGATTGGGATGATGAGGATGAAGCTAGGCGGAAACATGGATCTGAGGTTCGCGCAAGACAAAGGGGCTGTTTGGTGTCGGATTTACAGCGGGATTTAAGCTAAATCCAGCCAAATGGTTTTTGTGCGCGCTTTAAATCCCGGCGATGGATAAATCCCGGATTTAAGGATTTACGGCATAAATCCGGGATTTACTAAATCCCTCGGTTCGGCGGATTTACGGGATTTGGCCGAAGAAGCGCGCGAAAGGGAGAAAGTTACCTTCACAGCCAGCGAGCACCCGTTGTTGCTTCCGATCAAAATGTCGTAACTTCCGATCCGTCGGAAGGGAAAGTCGTCGAAGGAGCGTAGTCGAACAGTGGCGAAGGAGCCGAAGAAGCAACGCGTGCAATCTCTACACCTCCTGCGAAAGCAACGAAGCCGAACAGCAACGACGAAAAGAGAAGATGAAAGACAAATGCTAGACGCCTCTAAGATAATTGATTAACTTAATTAATATAATTTAAAATATTAATAATTAATTAAATAATGAATAGTATACTTAGTGTATAAATTAATTAACTTAATTGGATAATTAATTATTAAATATTAATATAATTATCTTAGTTGATATATCTTAAAATAATAAATTATTAAATAAATATTCTTCCTCCCTTTAGACCTCCGTCGCCTACGATATCACTCCGACCTCCAACATCAAGCAGTTCTCTGACCACTATCTCCTACTGACTACGATCCTTCCGACCTCCCTCGTCATACAAAAATCTTTCTGACCACTGTCTCTCACCGACTACAATTCTTCCGACCTCCCTCGCCAGACAACGGTCATTTCGACCACCGTCGCCATACTACAATCTTTTCGACCTCCTTCGCCCTTCAACTATGGTTATGCCGACCAAACTAACATTTCAATACTAATTCTTTAATTCCCACCATGTAATATGATATATGTGTGCTACATCAACTCAGGGTCTTCCCCCTAATGAAGGAGCTCATTTGTAATCGATTGCAAATACTAGTTGATTCATTCGAAATGAGCCATGCCCAATGGTTTTCCCTCCTTTTCAACGGTTTCCATGTAAAACTCAGGTGTCTCTTATGCACGCTACAACCTCTTGTGTTAAATTTTCGTACAAAACTAAAATATTAAATTTTATATTTCCCTACCGTCGTGAATATTCCATGACACAACATAAATAATGATTAATGAGTAATGAAATTCTTTAGTGATTAATGAGATAATTAATAATATAAATTAAAATTAAAACAAACAAAATAATTCTTAAATAATTAATAAATAATTAGTTAACTAACTAGTGGTTTTAAAATATTAAATTCATAGCACATTAATTTTAATTTTTAATTTAAAATTAACTTTTTTATCAAATAATTTTTCATATTTTAATGAAATTTAATATTTACTATACCAAATAATTTTCATAATTTAGCACACTTAGAATTGACTAAATCTGAATTTATAAAATTTAATAAATCCCCTAAAATTAAACCCCACTTGTTGCCGATCAACCCTTTGTTAGGAACAATTATTAAGTCCTCCGATCGAATGCAGAGAAACATTCGGTCACAGGCAAAAAAGCCGCGGTACCGAGGTGCACCGAAAAACTCAGTACTCGGTATTCGGTACTCGGTACACCTCGGTACCGCGACTTTTTTGTCTGCGACCGAATGTTTCTCTCGTTCGGTCCACCGAACCAAATAAAACTTCCTTTGTTAGATACTAACTCCCGTGCTGCTCCATTTATATTGCCCCAATTGTTCAGAGCCATGGTAATGAAACTTTCCTCTTCGATAATGGATGTCGCCTCCCTCTCCAACGAAAAGCAATGGAAATGCATCAAGGACACTAACGAGAACCTCCATGGCGTCTGCCCCCTCTGCACAGACTGCGCTAATCACCGGCCATGTGGTTGCCTTCCTTCCTCATCTTCCTACCTTTCTTCCTCTTCACTCTCCTTCTTCAATCCTCCACAATCCAGTGTCGGTAGTTGGCTCAGCGACGTCGGCCGCATTGGAAGCCTGATTGATTGCGAACTTGGTTTCTTGCAATCCAGATATGTCGCGTTTCAGTTTATAAAGAGTAAATCTAGCGTTGGGGGAGACAATGATGAGGAGAAGAGGGAGAGAGTGGGAGGTGGTTGCTAGTGGCGCTCCATATTCTGGTTCTTACAAAAACTGAGGGAGATAGAGGCGCCGGTGCGGGCGCCAAAGAAGATGAGGAGATCTACATTAAGAAAGACATGTAGTGAGTTATCAGAGAAAAGGAGAAGAAGGAGAATGATGCAGAGGAAAGCTTAAGCTCATTTTCATTGATTTCATCTTCGTGTAATACAGTCGTTTTATAAGGTTACGAGAGACAGGTAGTTGGAATGTCAGTCGATCGTTGGTGGCAGTCTGGCAATACGGCTTCGCAGGCGATCGTGTCGCCGGAGCTCGTGCAAACGATCGTGACGGTAAGATATGCTGGCGGAGCATGATATGTTACTCCAACATCCTCCGTCAAATTGATGATCTGATTTACATATGTCCAATTTGTTCTGCAGTTCGGCGAACCTGGGACGGGTGAGAGGTTTGGTTAGAAGATCCGCCGGTTGGTCGGTAGAGCTGATATGAGCTACTGTAATCGCCTTGCGATGGATGTGATCACTGATAAAATGGTGATTGATTTCAATGTGTTTGGTTCGGACGTGAAAGACGGGGTTATTCGCAAGGGCGATGGCTGAGACGTTGTCGCAGAGTATAGGAGTTGGGAGAGATTGTGGAGCTTTGAAGTCATTGAGAAGACGACGCAGCCAAATGACATCTGCGGTTACCGCGGCAAGGGCGCGATATTCTGCTTCCGTTGAGGATTTTGCAACTGTGGATTGTTTCTTCACACTCCAGGAAGTGAGATTTGGTCCAAGGTATGAGCAGAATCAAGTGATGGATTTACGATTTATTGAGCTGGAAGCCCAATCAGCATCGGCATAAGTAGTGAGGTGGAGAGGTCCATGCTTGATGTTCATGCCATAGTTATGAGTATCTTTTATATAGCGCAAGAGACGCTTTAGTCGTTTGAAGTCGGAGTTGGTGGGGCTGTGCATATGCTGGCAGATGACATTTGTGGCAAAGGCGATGTCCGGCCTTATCACTGTGAGATATTGCAGAGAGCCCGCGATCTGCCGATAGAATGTGGGGTTGTCGTATGGTAAGGGATTGACGGTGGACTTGGACTCTTTGGGGGAGACGGGAGTGCTCACTGGTTTTGAAGAGTCCAGGCCGGCTGAGTGGAGAATGTTGCGAGCGTAGTGAGCTTGATGGAGGAATAGACCTGTAGAAGTGGATTGAATTTGGATACCGAGGAAGACGTTAGCATTGTCCAGCTGTTTCAGGGAGAAAGTATGCTTGAGCTGTCGGAGGAGGTTCTTCAGAGTGGGTGGATGATTGCCAGATAAGAGGAGATCATCTACGTATATGAGTAAATAGAGCTGGACATTATGCTTGTCGTAGGTGAGTATTGAGGGATCTGCCTTGCTGAATTGAAAACCGAAGGCAAGAAGAAATGACGTCAGTTTGTGAAACCACTGACGAGGAGCCTGTTTGAGGCCATAGAGAGCTTTTCTCAGTTTACAGACATGACCCGGGAAGGCAGGATCAACGAAGCCCTGTGGTTGCTTCATGTAAACATCTTCCTGGAGGTCACCATGTAGAAACGCGTTGTTGATGTCGAGCTGATGAATCGGCCAGCCACAGTGGAGAGAAATAATGAGAAGTACGCGGATGTTCGGCATTTTAGCCACCGGGCTAAAGGTTTGTTGATAATTGATGCCCTGTTGTTGAGTACTGAATCCTTGAGCTACAAGTCGTGCTTTGTAGCGATTAACGGTGCCGCAGTGTTGAGTTTAGTCTTGTATGTCCATCTGCAACCGAGGACTGGGGTGTTGGCGGGAGGAGGAGTGAGGTACCATGTCCCTTGAGTTTGTAGAGCCATGAACTCCGATGACATGGATTGTCTCCAGTGAGGTGATTTATTTTCTTCGGCGTAACTCGAGGGAATGGGATCAGTATCTGTTACAGCAATCAAGTCGGAGATTTTTTTTTTTGTTTTAAATGACTAGCCTGAAGACGTGTTATCAAGTGATATTTATGCGAGGGAATAGGAGAATTTGAAATTTCAGGAGCAAGAGCCGTTTGAGTGTTAATGGTGTCATGGGAGGGTGAGTTCCTGGACGAAGTAGAGTCGTTGGAGGCGAGTGTGTTCGGATACGAAGCTGGTGTTGGAGTGGTGGTAGTGTATGTGGAGGTAGGTATGAGAAGTAGGGGAGGAATGAGAGCTGTAGATGTGGGGATTGTAGAGGGCAGCTGAGAGTTGGAGAGTGATGCATATGGGAAGTGATGTTCGTTGAAGGTGACGTGCCGAGAGATATGAAGTTTGTTGGTGTGAGGATTATAGCACCGATAGCCTTTGTGAGAGGTGAAGTAGCCAAGGAAGATGTAGAGAGAGGAGCGAGGTGCTGGCTTTTGAGGTGCTTGAGGCTTGAGCCAGGGATAGCAAGCACAGCCGAAGATCTTTAGATGGGTAAGAGAAGGGGGAGTGTCGTGAAGGAGCTGGAATGGTATTTGATTGTGCAGGGACGAAGTGGGAAGACGATTGATGAGATAATTAGAGGTCTGAACTGCTTAAACCCAGAAAGTGAAGGGCAAGCTAGCAGCGTGGAGTAATGTGCGTGCAGTTTCGACGAGATGCCGGTGTTTTCTTTCAGAAACGCCATTTTGATTAGGGGTGTAGGGGAAGCTAAGTTCGTGGCGTATGCCATGTGTGGAGAGAAAGTTTGTGAATTCGTGGCCAGTGAATTCGCCGCCCCCATTTGATCGTAGAGTTTTGATGGAGGTTGTGAATTGAGTTTGTATAAGAGAATGGAAGTGTTTGAATTTAATGATGGATTCGTTTTTAGAGTGCATTACGCATAGCCAACAAAAGCACGTACAATCATCTATGAATATAATGTAGTAGCGAAAACCAGAGAGAGGGAAGGGGAGAAGTCCCCCAGACGTCTGTATGTATTAAAGTAAAAGGAGTATTTACATGGTGAGCGTCCCTGGGAAATGGGAGCTTGTGGCTCTTTGCCACTTTACAGGAATTGCAGTTAAAATGTAAAGACTTAAAGCTAGTGTTCGGTAAAAGCCTAGATAGAGTGATCATCAAGCGTAGATGCGGATGACCCAGGCGAGCATGCCAGAGAAAAGTGGAGTCGTTG